GCAAATTTTTGTGCACCGGGCCTCTAGTATATATATATTAGTGTCTCCCGCTCAATAGTTAGATATTTGTGCAGTGAGTTAAATAATTAATTTAGCTATAATAGGAAGACAGCATTTCAGTTTGGGTATATGCAACATGTTAAATATTATATATACGTGTTAATCTATTTTTATTAATCATATATATATATATGAGTTGCTTAAAATAGCTCCAATAAATAAAATGTATGGTACTGATATTTTAGTTTCATCAGTTTGATAGGCAATTTCTGGTCTCTCATATCACTTTGATACTTCTACATAATAAAAATGAGCCCTATTTTGTTATTGAGTTTGCTCACTAATATTCTGGATTTACTGATAAATTATAATTTCTTTTACTTTAGATTTTTCTTTTTGTCTGCAGTAGAATTCACATGATCATGAAAATAAGCATTGGTCCCAGGTCTTTGGTCTAAGCAGAATGAAGGGAAAGCTTGAGAATATTCAGATAATTTCCAAATGAAAAAAAATAACATTTTCTCCTAAATATTGCCAAAAACCTAGTTATTCTGGAACATCTAGTTATTTGAGGTGTTTTTAAATTTTATTTTAGTGTTTGGCACTATACAGAGAGAGCCTTTCTCTGTTGCCATAGGAAACAGTAGAAGAAACGATGAAAATGAGGGTGAGAGCGATTAGAAATGTAGTTCAGATTATACTCATTTTGCATCTGGGCTAGAATTTTTGCAGATCTGATGAGTTTTGGAAACTATTAGTACTCTTGAAGAACCATGGTAATTGCTTGAATTCCTGAAGAAACATCACCTATCTTTGAAAGGCGGTGCTTAGGGATTTAGTCACTTTAAAACAATTTGAGATCCTTGGTTGGCAGAGATGACAAGATACAAAATAAGTCTCTCATACAATCCTTTAAATAACCCAAATCACTAACTTGTCAGTTCCCTTTTACAAATGATGCTAGAATTTTCTGTAGGCAACTTGGCAAAATCTTTTCTTCTCTGGAGTTTATACTGAAATAATGACAATCTTCATAACTATAATGAGTTTCTATTTGGAAGGATAGTCCAAATATGCATTCTCCCAGCCCACTGAGTCTTCCTGATGTGGATTTTTTTTTTCCTGGATCAGAGATAGAGGACTGATTACTGGGAATTTTATTACAAGATTCTGTAATTACTTAGAAGACTCTGGAGAACCAAGAGGATTGACAGAGAATTTTCTGTTCTTCACTATCTAGCCATAGAATGCCCTTGGAAATTTACTAATAGAAAAGGCCATGTCTTAAATATGTACAGCCCTATTCAATATATAAAACATTAGCATGGTTGATATCATGCTGATTCCCATAGGGCTGCCTAGCACATATTATCCCCATTTTTTCAGATGAGGAATTCAGGTACTGAGAGAGAGGTTAAACAATTTACTAATACTTCCTGATAGTAGAATTGGAATCTTAACCTGAATATTTTCTCCAAAAATTGGTGTTCATGTCACTATACTTGCTGCCGATATGTGGGACATTTTACTCTGTGATACCCCAAACCTCTTCCTTCTCTCCTGTAGAACATTTAACTTGGAAATACCCACAGTTGTCTTTGTTCTATCATGTATGAAAATTAGACACCACACTTATTTTATTAGAAAGATTATTCAACTTGCTTTACGTTACACTTGAAGAAGGGGTATGTAGGCTTTCTTTAAGTAACTTTATCTTTATAATTGTATAATTAATGCATGCTCAATGCTGAAAATTTGGAAAGAAACAAAAAGCATTTCTAAAACAACAAATACCACTACCCAGCCATCAGCAATGTTTAATTTTGGGGACTCATACTCCCTAAGGTTTTCTGTCCATAGAGTAGTTTTGCTTTTATGATGCTTTCTCTCACCCCCAAGTGAGAACATGGTTCAGCTTGCTACACATATGGTTTAGTTTCCTATACTTCAGATGAATAAATTAAAAAAATATTAATCTAAGCAAAGAAGGATCAAGAAGCTATATAAGTTGCTTCATCACATCACAAAATTCACAAAGGAGACAAAGGATAGTCAGAAAGATTTTTATATTCCCTTTTACTTTCAAGTTATTTACATCATCAAAGACTCCTCTCTTTCCCCAATAGCATAGACCATCAGAGCTTTCCAAACTAGTGGCATTTACGCTATTAATACCTGTGCTATTTTTTCCCTCAGGTTTTGAAGATCATGATCACGTGGATTCATCTAACTAAACGGTACCTGGGGACATGGTGGTCCTTTAGAGAGCACATCTAAATTACTGGCTAATTTCTTGGTTTGCCACTCAGCGTAGGACATTGTTTGATTCTCTCTATCAGAACTCTCCTACGTTTTCCCCACCATGCTGTCTTTATTAGCTTGAACTCCTTTCCTAAAATGGTCCTTCTGTTGATCTTGTCAGTGCTGCTTTTGAAAGAAGATGTCCGTGGGAGTGCACAGTCTAGCGAGAGGAGGGTGGTGGCTCACATGCCGGGTGACATCATTATTGGAGCTCTGTTTTCTGTCCACCACCAGCCCACCGTGGACAAAGTTCATGAGAGGAAGTGTGGGGCAGTCCGCGAACAGTATGGCATTCAGAGAGTGGAAGCCATGCTGCACACCCTGGAAAGGATCAACGCAGACCCCACACTCCTGCCCAACATCACACTGGGCTGTGAGATAAGGGATTCCTGCTGGCACTCGGCTGTGGCCCTAGAACAAAGCATTGAGTTCATCAGGGACTCCCTCATTTCTTCGGAAGAAGAAGAAGGTTTGGTGCGCTGTGTGGATGGCTCTTCCTCCTTCCGCTCCAAGAAGCCCATAGTAGGGGTCATTGGGCCCGGCTCCAGTTCTGTGGCCATTCAGGTCCAGAACTTGCTCCAGCTTTTCAACATACCTCAGATTGCTTACTCGGCAACAAGCATGGATCTGAGTGACAAGACTCTGTTTAAGTACTTCATGAGGGTCGTGCCTTCAGATGCCCAGCAGGCTCGGGCCATGGTGGACATAGTGAAGAGGTACAACTGGACCTATGTGTCAGCTGTGCACACAGAAGGTACGTTTTCTTTACTTTCATGAAGTATGTGTTCTTAGGCGCTCAGCAGCTTCCCAGTTAAAATGTCAGGTTTTGGAAGGTGAAAATATTCTTAACTATTTGGGATCTTTTGAGTTGCCCCATTCTATATCATTAATAAAGAAGGAACTGGGATGGCATATGTATAGAGTGACAAAAATCTAAGATAAAGGAATGGTCATGTGGTCATTTGGCTAAATAGAATTTTTTTTTGGATTATGTATTGCATTATTTGCATTTCTGCTCTAATACTGCTAGAGATTTTTAAGTTTTTTAGCTCTTCATTGAACATCTCATATTTTTAACATTTTAAAGGTCTTCAACTGCGTATTATTTATGATAAAAAGAGATACACATAAATACACATAAGGAGTGAAGGCAGCCAGTTCTGGCCCAGGTATAATGTAGTAGAAAAATACCAAACAGCTTAGTCTTACAACCACTTTTTCAACTGAGTATATCATTAAATGTGAAATGGAAATACATGTGAATTAGTTTTATCTTTGTATATATAGCATACTTAGAAAATGTAAAATTTTAATAATTTAGTTTTAAATTGCTTCTGTATGCTCAAAGTTTAGTGGAGAAGGAAAATATGACAGGCTTTATAAGAGTTAATAATACTATTAGCCCTTTTATTGTATATTGTGTTTTTAAAATGCTTTTGTGTACATTATTTGTTAGTTCTTACCCAAGCCCGTTTGGGATGGTTTGGGTTTGACCTACAGAGTTTAAGGAACCCAAATGGTGAGACTCACTTATTATGCAACTTTCCATCTAGGACAGTTGTTCTCAACCTTCCTAATGCCGCGACCCTTTAATACAGTTCCTTATGTTGTGGTGACCCCCAATTTCATTGTTACAAATTGAACATAATTAAAGCATAGTGATTAATCACAAAAACAATATGTAATTATATTTGTGTTTTCCGATGGTCTTAGGCGACCCCTGTGAAAGGGTCGTTCAACCCCCAAAGGGGTCGTGACACACAGGTTGAGAACCACTGATCTAGGAGAATATACTACACACACTATAGAAGGCCAAAAAAAGGTTCAAAATACGTTTTATATCTTCTTCAATCATTGTGAGGGTTAGTTTAGATTTAAAAATCCTGCAATAACACTATCAGTGTGGTCCAAACAATCTAAACCTGTAAAATGTGGGGTTGCATTATTGAGAAATTAATGAAAGAACCAAAGAAATCTTAGTACAGAGCTTGGGAGCCAAGCACCAAGTAGATATAGAAAACTTTTATCATCAAGTGGCATAATATGGGTTTCACTGAATAGCCACTCATTAATATTCAGAATGGGATAAACATAAATTGGGCTTCTATATTGATTGAGATTTCTATGCCTCTGGAAATTTTCATGTATAAATTTATAGTTAACTTACAGAGATGTTAATGTATAGAGATTTTGAGCAATGTTTAGGTGATTGAAGTAGGAGACCTTTGATTTTTTTTGTCCAATGATGAGATTTTTGTTATAAAATCACTATTTCATTTGATTCTCACAAGTAGTTATACGAATAATCCAGATATTTTATTCTTGTTTTATTTTTAATATACATATATATTTTATTATTGATGTATTATAGATGCCCCCATTCCCACCCTCATTGCCCCCTCCACCCAGTCCTTACCCTACCCCAGGCCTTCACTACACTACTGTCTGTGTCCATGGGCTATGCATGTAAGTATATAAGTTCTTTAGTTAATCTCTTCCCACCCACCCCCATTTTAAAGTACGAATGTTTTAAGAGTTCAAATAATTCATCTAATAAATAACTAATAGCAATATCAGAGCCAGAAGTAAGGCTTATAGCTACTGACTCATAGTTCAGTGACCTATTATAATTTAGCAGGATCTAATGGAATCACACTCTCAGGATATATTTCTACAACACATATTTATTAAGCACAAATAAATGAAAGGCCCTCTGGTAGTTCTTATAAGGATAGCCCTTTGCTGTATACATCACTATCTTAGATGGGCATGCAGTCTGGCAAAGGAGATGATTCAAGATGACAAGGAGTTAAAATATCTCTAAAGTAAATTGAATGAGAGCAAAAATCACATTCTACTCTGTAGTGATGGGGGCCACGGTGGAAATCTTAGAGAAGGAAATGCAATTTGACAGTTGCATTTTAACAGGAAGAACACTGACAATTGGTGAAAATTAAGAAGGGATGGATTTTCAGCAAAGAGCATGAGAAAATATGGGAAGGTAAGAAAGTAAAATAATGTTTTTTTGGGGAAAAACAAGGATAAAGGTTTGGTTTGCTTCAAAAAAATCAAGATTTTTTTTAGGAACTTCCCTCTAGTTTCCAAAGAGTAGGGCCATTCCATAGATGGTCACTATGTGGGAGATGCTTATCCAATATTGTCTTAAAAAAGAAACTTATCATCATGACTACTGGCTGTTACTAATTTAAACTGTTTTTGTTTTGTTTTTTAACTAAAATGTATACCAACAGCAATCCAATAAAATAAATAAATCATGATGCATCCAATGTATTATTAGATATCGATTAAAATTAATGAAGCATTCTATTGTGAGATTATAATTATCTCCAAGATCATTTCAGGTGAAAAAAGTGAGGGGAAGTCCTATGTGTATGGTATGTTACCTGAATTTATAAAAACCATTTGATTGGATATTCATAGAATTGCTCTTAGAGCAGAGCACAACTGATAACAATGGCTCCTTCTGGGGAGGAAATCTAAGTGGTTAGGGGATAGGGTGGAATAAATGAAACTTACTTTTCTTATATAACTTTTACATGTAAATATTTAAAGCTACATATTACACACATAAACCATGTATTACAACAGAACAATTAAAGGAAAACAGGGTTTTTGTTTTGTTTTGTTTTTGTGGGCATAAACTAAGACAAAAATATTCTATTGCCAAATTTAGGCAAATTCAATTATTTAATTATTTAAATAGGCCAATAGAAATTTTGTTGCCCAATTCTGGCAAAGTGTTTGGATGATACCACCAGGATTCAGGAGAGAACAAATTTTGAATGTGAACTTTTAAAGATTGGAAGAAATTCTCTTTGGTTTATCATTTTATGTAGTTTAGTGAAGAAGCATTTATATTCCTTTGATTGTATTCAAGTGCACATCTGGATAATGAGGTTATATACTGTTCCTTCTTACGGTTTATCAGAGGAGGAGCAGTGCGGTAGGAAGTTTCACAAGGTAAAACTCCCCCAGGATGAGAAAAGTGCTGGAGTAACAAGATACAACTCTGTTTGGTACTGTTAGAGCTTCTAGGTGATGCCTTGTTTTCTGTTGTTTGGTCCTTCAGGAAGTCACTTCCTACTTGAGCCTTTTTTCTGGTTGAATTAGAGTAATCCTATCCAGCCCTTGAGCACTCAGTCTCAGTATCCCAAATTTATTCCTACATCCTTATAATTATCCTTTGCTCAGTTGATATTCCTCTTTCTTCAAGAATATAGACAATTACAAATGCTTTCACATAAGGCATTGAGGTCTATGAAAAGATGTCCCATTTAAAAAACAAACACTTTTTATCCCCCAAATTACCCATTTTATACTGAGACATGTCAGTACCTTGTCACTCAGTACTCTTGTTAGCTATCACAAGATGTTTTTTTTGGAGAACAGGTATGCTATTACAGAATATCAGAAGAGAACAAAAGGTGACTTTGGTTTCAGCTTCAAGGTTAATCTGTTACACTTGCTTTTTCCTTGATTTATGATTTTTTGTAGGATAAAGGACTGTGCATTTACTGTGGCTTATTGTATTATGCAGAAATTGTTCCTAGGTGTTTTAGGCAAAGAGATTAATAATAGTACGAAAAGAAAAACAAAACAAAAAAGAAGGAAAAAAAATTAAGGGCAGACAACATTAGCTCTTGAACTATATGGAGGAAAGGAACAGGCAATGACTCATTTTTATTTATTTTTTACTCCTTTAAAGGAGTCAGTCAGTCTACCCTGTCTTTGCTATAAGAAGATTTTAGGGATTCTTTGCTTCAGTACTTTTGCAAACCTTGGTACATGTACCCATTAATGCACAAGATCAGTGGTGCTCACCTACTTAGGGGTGGGCAGATGGACTGTTTTGGCTTTGATGACTTCCATTAATGATCCCCTTTGCTTTGTAACTTGATAGTTCCCTTCCACTCTCATGCCACACTGGTCTGTGACTGCCTCAGTCAATAGAATTTGGCAGAAGTGAGGACTCCCTTCCTAGTCTGTCTGTCTGGGAGCCCTGTCCTCACCATGTGAAGGAAAAGAGCACCCAGGTTTTCTACATGAGACCATTTTAGGCCACTTGACCTCAACTATGTGAGAGCACCCAACACAGAGCAGCACAACTGCCTTCCTCTCTCACAGTTATTTGCAGTCACAGAAGAAAGCCCAGCTGAAACTGTAAACACTACCCAGCTAACCATACATTTATGAGCAACAGTAATAGCTTCAGTATAAACATATTCATCCCAGTAAAAAATTCATTTAAATTTTAATCCTCCCCCCAAAATGGGATACTGCTACAATGTTTAAACCTCAAAAAGTTTTTTAAAATATATTGACATACATTAATAGTCTTGATACTTAAATGTGAAATAAAATGAATAAATGCTGTGGGCAAAAAGAAAATTTTAAAATGCTTCACTCATACTTTTGTAACTAGAGATTTGATAATTCCCTAAAGCCCGAATGCTTTGAATAGTCACACACTTGTATATATTCCATTATTCCCGTTGATCTAGCTTAATTTTAGGGAGAAAAGTAACTACAGATTGTATTTTATACACAAAACCATGAATATTATACTTTACAGGTGACATACAGGATTTTCACACCACAATTGTTTGCTGACTTGAGTTGAAACTTCACTGAACATCCCCAAGGCCTATCAGAGTGCCTAGCACATAATAAGCACTCAAAGACTATTTGCTGAATGGGTGAATTTGTGTTAAAATAGTACCTAGCTCACTGTTT